TGTTCTTTATAAATCATAAATTTTGTTTACTATTTAAATAACTGAAGTAAAATTTTTTTCAAAGCTTCTATGAGAAATAATTGCCTTTTTGATTTTCATTTTGTTTTTTTTTGTTTTTTGCTTTTTAGCAATTTCTCAGTCATCTATTCTAAATAGCAGAAACTAATAGTAACACTTCTAACAATGTGAGTCCATAAAACAAATTTGAATTGAATGAAATATTTGTGTGCCAGACTAAAACAAACCCTAATTTAGTGTTTACATTTTATATTTCATTTATTTAGATTAAAACATTCCTTCTAAATCATTTCAATAGTTTCTTTGTGTGCAACTTATCAAATTCACAACATAATTTCATAGGGTGCTATTACTTGTAAAAGTGCATTTTGTAATGGACACAGGAGGAGGTAAATTTCAAGAAATGCACATTTTAAAATTAGGTTGGCATTATGAACTGTTACAATGGATTTTCTTTAGCACTTCTTTCAATAATAGCTCACTTGTGGATGTATACAAGAATAATGTATTTTTCTTTCAGGTCAGAATTGGGGATATTATGAATGTGAATATGATACAATATGGCATGTTTTTATCATTGAATTACATATATTGGCAAGAGCTGGTAGATCTGTTTCATCAACTAGATCCTTATCATTTTACCAAACTGCTCAATTACATATTGTTTTTACTTTGGAAGATTTGATAACTCTCATTCTTTTTAATTAGGGGAGTTTATTTTTCACCTGAGTTTACTATGAACCTTCTTTTCAAATAATTAAATATGAATTACTAATTACTGAGAAGGCCATAGAATAGATGAACATGAGTGTTATGGTTCCTGCATCAACAACAGAGTTCAATTGATTAAACAAAATTTTGGAACTAAATATAACAGATAATTTACAGTATGGATAAAACTAAGCATATACTTGATAAAACAAGTTACTCTGGAGCTGCATATGAGATAATAAATTGAAAGATTGGATTAAGAGCATACAAGATTGATATAGGCAGTTGCAGTGACACATAGGATGAAGACCATATAAGAAGAGGTTTGATAGGTTTAATGTCTTTTAGGATAGATGTAGATAATCATAACAGGATTCCAGAGTGTACAATTTGGTTATATGCAAATGCATGTAAGATGGATATTTCAATTTAAAAACTTGACAGGTGTAAGAACAAAGAACATAATAGATTGCTAGATTAATCTGTTGTCTCTGTTATAAATGATTATATGTTAAAATTTTAAAAAGATGTATTTAGAAATAATATGAATTAAATACCATATAAAATCATTTCCACTAAGATCTAAAGTTGTATAAATTGAGTTGAGGAACATAAGACTAATTTTGATTTTAAAGAATGACTACCCATTAGTTAAGGGCATGCAAAATTGATAAACATCTTTATAAAAATCTCAGAATGGGATATAACTACACATAAAATAGACTGGTTTAGAAGTTATATATGATGGTAAACAATACAGATTACATTCATATATATAGCATATAAAACCCAAAAGGATGAGTAGACTAATTTAACAGAATACAAAACATAAATATATTTACTCTAGAGTACAGAAGATAAAGATATAACATTATATAAAATAAAAAAAATACTTATTAGCATTAAACTGTAAAATTGTAGTCATAAAGGTAAATATAACAAAATAGTTATATTAAGTAGCATAAGATTCATATAGGCACATCTACATAAATACTGCAAAAAGTCTGATACCTAATGATGAAAATCTATTTTACACATTTAGTTTTCAGCTTAATCTCCTTCCTTGTCTATTCACTTAATTCTTCATACAATAAATATTATACAATAAACATTTAAGTTAAAAATTCAACTAATAATTATGTAATATGCTACTTATAGATCCACCCTGTTATAATGTATCTATATATAATTATATGTATGGCATGTCACATAAATCACATGGATATATAGCATTTGGGAATGTACATTTAAATTAATATAATAGTACTTATAATATATACAGTACAATAACATGTACATAAACATATGGATAAAACATTATATAAAAGTATATAAAATATAGTAATGAATAAATGATGTAACAGTAACTTATTGCATACATGTGTAGATTGATCATTATAACTTCATAAAAGATGAACAAATATGTCATTGACATATATCTACATGAAGAGATTGATAAAGGAGCATATTAGATTAATAAATATATTAATACAAAAGATAGATTAGTAAATTTAATGTTTGTTAATACAAATAGTTAAAATTAGATAAATAAATGCAATAAGGATAATTATCAAAATAGAACAATTCATTTATTTTTGACATTTTACATATATTCATAGTTGTTGTAAAATAAATCAACTAAAGTGGTGTGATTTTGCATCTCACTTAAGTAAAATCTATAAATAAGATGAAACAGAATAAACTATAGATAGAATGGCTCAACTTAAATGTTGTGGGAACAGTATCAGCACAAAGAACAAGTTCACTTGTCCAAACAAATTTTAGAATTAAATATCAGATAATTTATTCACAATATACAACTAGATATTTTATAGCTGGGTAGTTTTAAGGTAGTGTTGAAACTTTACTATTGCATAATGTAATCTACCTTTTGGCAACAGACACAAATTGTGCAGATAAGCATAATATTGGCCCATCTATGGCTTTAGAAGACACTGTAGAGAGAGCTGGCTGTCAGACTTAGTCAGTTAAAAAGCCTGAAGCTTTCAAACAATATCCTGTCTCTTGCTGATTTGAATGATATAAACTTGCCTTATCTCTGGAGATGCATGTTTCATCTGCTTTCTCTTTCATTTTCTTAATGGCTTGACTTTGCTCACTTGTGGCATTTCCTTTCCTAACTAAAAACATATTGTCGAGAAATATGTTCTGAAAACATTGTATTAACTTTTTGTTTTTATGCCATTTTGAGATAGCATTGTTTAGACAATAGTTCATTTAGCCAAACTGCCAACACTATCATTATTTTGATCATCACTATCTACAGCTTCTTTACTACTGTTCACAAATTATATTATACTCTAGTTTTGAGTGCATGTACATACACCAAGCACAAACAGTTTAGAAATGATATGCTTTTGAAAGCATACACAAAATAACAACAGGGCAGAAATATGTCTAGAGATACCGACCTATAAGCATTATTATTATTTATTATAATCATTATTATGCCTCTGTTTTGATTTAGTTTCCCATTTTCAGTTTCTTTATATTATAGGTGATGAATATATAATGATTTTTTTTTTAATTCATTTTTTTAGTTCCTTTTTTCTCTTTCTTTTTGCAGGCTTTATGTAGTTAGGGATTGTATTTGTATTTTCTCTTTACTTCTCAATTGATTTACTTATATACATATACATATATATATATGGTGGCAATATGTTGTCTAAGTTGTCCACCAGTGCAGCGGTTTACCTACTTCATGCCACTGGCGAGTATTGTATTTTGTTGATGTCATAAAGATTACCATTTCATTTCCAACTGCCGTTTTGGTTATTCCTTATTCAGTAACCTTTTCTAGGTTACAATACACACACAAACACACACACATATATATATATATATATATATAAAACAGCCCAGTATCAGAGATAATGTTTATATTGTGTAGACATAGGAACCAATACTGCATAGTGACTGTCAGTTTCATGCCAATGCAATCTTCAGGCCATATCACACTGATGCATGAAAGTCACATTCGCCACACAGTATTGTATCTCATGTCTAGAACAACGTGTCTTTGTTCAAGACACTGGAATAAGAAATGGGAATTTTATGATCAAAATGCTACCAGAGTAAGCAATACAAATGCAAATAAAAACTTTATCTATGTTTCATAGATTAAAAAAAAAAGTGTGGAGGTACATTTGTTAGGATATTCAACAAAGCGCTTCTTGAAATATTAGAATAAGTTGATTTACATGGGAAAGATATTAGAGTAATCTGCAATTTCTACTGGGAACAAACAGTTTGCATGTGTTTAGTGAATACACAAAAATAGAAATGATAAAAATTTGTTTTCACATTGGATCTATTTAACCTGTACAGTGAGACAATTCTAGGAGAGTAAGAGGACTAACTGGGATTTTATGGCAGATGTAACATTAATGACGTACATTACACAGATGGCACTGTGTTGATGGCAAGTTCAGAAAGAAAACTGAAATAACCATTAGACAAGGTATTAGTTAAGGAAAGCATGAAGAAAGGATTAATCATTTATTATAAGAACATTAAACGTGTAGTTGCCAGTAAATGGCACAAATTGTGGACTATATACCAGGTGCAGAGATTTAACTTTCTGAATAGTATAGTAACAGACAACAAAAAGGAAGATGCAAAAGTCAAAAGTAACACAGGAATAATGAAAGATGCCTTTCAGAAATTGAACAAAGTATTAAAGAATAAGAAAAAGTCCCTAGTTCCTTCTGATGATTCAAACAATTGATTAAACCAATCAAATGTAGCAATCTATGAAATGCATTTGGTATTTGTTGAGAGGAAGGACATAATACTTTATCAATTTTGTTTTTTGTGGGGTGGGTAACAAAATAAAAATTTATTACAGCTGAGCTGGTAAATTTCATTATATTCATCAAAAATTGGACTACCACCATTTATATCAGTCTTTAGAGAATTCTCTTTCTAACAATTTTTATTTTTTTTCATAAAGATCTAGTCTTAGAAGGATGAAATTATTAAGTTGCTTGAAAGTTGGTAGAAGATATTGGAACAGAATGATACATGTTATTTGATAAAAGATAATATTGAAAATAAAAATAAAAAATTTTTTATACTTAATAAACTAAGCAAACATTTTGGCCACTACAACAAGAATATATTGTTTCCTGTGTCTGTTATGTTAAATATAATCTTAACTTGCATATAAAAATAAACCCTGAAGAGTGAATATTAATTTCTCTTAACAAGCATAGCACTTGTTTACTAATATTTTTCTTTATATTTTAAAGGCTGAGAATACTCAATTGGATGCAAAGTTTATTGAATTCCAAATGTCCTTAATGAAGGTGAAAGAATGGCTGACAAAAGCTGATAGTGCAATTTCATCACATGATCACTTACCAGTGATACAGAGGCTTTCAGAATATGAACAGGAAAAAATGAAGGTAGGTTGCTTGGAGAATTCATTATTATTTATTGATATTGTATATGCTTTCTTTCATTTTTTTAAAAATTGGAATGGTTTTGTAAAGTATGTCATTCTTGTGCAGTTGATATCATCTTTTCCAAAAGAAAGAAAGGAATAAAAAATAAAAAGGAAAAACAATGTTTTCCTTAAATAGGTTTTAATTACTTATCTTTATGGGTCACCATAGCAGATGCATGAAACTGTGAGCAGTTCTTAACCTCACACATCCATATAATTCTCCTATACATGCATACCTATGATAAAGTTTAGTTTCTAAATTAGGCTTAATAATAATAACTAATAATATCTTATAATAGTTGTTATATTTAGTATATGACATGTGACAACTATCATCTTTTTATTTTCAAAAAATACTTCATGGCTTCTCTTTGAGGTATCTGAATTGCCCACATTACTCTTGTGGTTTGGAACATTTATTAAGTAAATTTAATGAATTGTTTATTTTTGGGACTATCCGCAACTAATTGAAACCTCAGAAAGCAAAACAGTAAAATAGGATCTTTGTATTTTAAATGCTTTGTGTAATTTCTTTACCTTAAGTTAAGTCTTATTTTTATTTCATTAAAGATGTTCTGTTATTTTCATATACAGGTTTATTTGGACAAGTTTTTAATAAATTACAACCAATTACCTTTTAACCTTTTTCATAGTCAGTTATTCTTTTTATCCTTTGAATTGTTTCTTCGTCAATTTTCCTTTCTTAATAAAAATTGACAAATGAGGTAATGAAACAAATTTCAAAAGATAATCAAATGCCAAAGAAGGTGTGAGAGATTTTAAGATTTCAATGTTTAATCATATCATTCTTAATACATCTAACATTATGCTGTTAATCATATTTATTTTCTTTTGCTTTTATTCCCATAACAGCAACTCATAAAATCCCTTTTTTTTCAGCTGAAGTTTTAAAATACTAAGCAATAAGCTGTACATCACAAAATTCTGACTAGACATCAAATCATCTTCAATTTAATGTGTCCTATTTTTATCTTGTAAACATTTATGATTTGTAACCCAGTGTCTTGCTGTAGCATTTATTCTGTGTAATATGTTTAGATAGTTTATTATTTTATATTAAATATATCAAAACACTCATAAAATATGTTCAGGGTCATATGAATAAACATTGAAATATTAACTAACCTACAATTCTTATTTCTTGTAAACTAAATGAATTTTCTTTTGGTTGAAATTCACTTAATCATTTCATGTACAAACTGTGTACATAATTATAGTTTATTTGCTGTAACCATTTTTCAATAGAAGTGTTATTGTGATAGCCAAAATTTTTACTGTCTTTCCTTTTCTCAGATATGATATATCATTCATTCCTTAGATGATTGGCTTTTTTTCTGATCAATAAACATCCAATGTATTTCCTTTGCTCTCTTCTGATCTCAGGTCCTTCTCTGCTTGTCAAGTTGTATTATAGATTATAGGCCATCACCAAATTTGAGTATTATGTGCTTGAATGCATACATATTTACAGCTATGGGTGTATATTATCTATATCTATATATATATATGAATAAACTTGGACAAACAAATTCCTCACTACATTTATGATTCATTGATAAATAAAAATACAAGCATACACATATACCCATTCATATATTAATGTACACCTCTGTGTGTGTGTGTATATATATATATATATATATATATATATATATATATATATATATATATATATAAGCACACACATTTAAACACACACAAAAACCTACCAGATTCCATCCAAGATAATATCCTCAATCACATGTAAAAAAAAGATTAAAATAATAGAAGCCCTAATAATAAAAAAGGAAAAACCAACACTCAATAATATTAACTATGAACACAGCCACAATGTGCTGACTGTGTTTGGAAAGAAAATACATTCCTATAAATTCAGACACATACATAAAAATCCCACATATTTAGTTAATAATAAAAAATAAAAATTGCCTTTGATAATAACTAAAAGAATAGTTGAAAGTACTCAGATATGCAGAACTTTTGGACAGTTTTTGCAGACTTTGTGGCCAGAAAAGAAAACACCTGTATGAACAAAAGAAAAATTAAATAAAAAGCTTAATCGCAGTACCTTGTCAGTTGTCTTTACCGAAACATGTATAAAAGAGGGATTGCTGCCTAAATACACAATATATATATATATATATATATATATATATATGTGTATGTGTTTTTAAAGTCTTATCATTTTGTATATTTGTATTGATATCATGTATGTGTATTTCTAACATATACGTTGATTTTTTTTATTTTTTTTTTGTAAATGCATTCATGTATAAATATATATGAGCATTAAAAAGCTTATGTAGAAAACATCAGACCTGTCTACTTATGTTGTAAGTGATCTGGTAATGCATCATTTTGCATTTATCTGAACATTTCTCTTGCATATAAGTTTCTATATTGTGATTTTATATGACAACTGCACAAATTAGATATTTAAGCCTGCTTTATTTGCATTAAGTCACTTGTTCTACACCAAAATCTGATCCATTTATCATAGATACAGCACGCAAATATATCCATCCAAGTAGAATTCTGTAGTTAAAAATATATCCTTTTTATTTTGGTATAGTGTATCCATATACATATATACAAAGTTGCATGCTTTAAAATGTGTTCATATAGTGATCATTTACAGGCATACAATTATGTATGTATGACTAAATGATCACATCTCAGAATTCTTAAATAATTTGATGAATTAAATCTGTTTAGAATTTATTCAACTATTTTTCTTTAAAATTTTACATTAGAATAGTATATTGCAATTTATACAGATTGTATTTAGTTGTTTTTGAATTTTCTACTTAAAGAATTTTACTTAAAATTCTAAAAAAAATATGAATAAATCATCACAGAGATTTTTTCAAGTTGCTCTTTTGTAGTTGTTGAAATATAAAAAAAATAACCTGAAGGATGTTATATCCTCTGAAGGATATATATAGCATTGAGCACTGTTTTATTTACACTGAAGGAAGGATGGATGGATGGATGGATATATATATATATAGATATATAGATATATATATATATATATATATATATATAGATAAGTCTGCTATATATCTAGGTCTGCTCTACGGTTGTATTGAGTGCTTTTGTTAGTTGTTTACTCGTATCGGGGTTTTTTCTTTGGGCTTCAGACCTGCATCTGTGCGATTTTTTTTGTCGGCAGAAGTTCATGTTTGTAGCTCTTTCTTTTTTTTTTTTTCTTTTTTTAAACCTTTTTTCCCTTGAGATTGATTTGATTATTAGTAAATCAAAAATTTGTGGGTTTTTCGAAACGAGTCTAGTTATCTATATTTGTGTGTGTATATATATATATATATATATATATATATATATATATATATTCAGGGGCTTAAAATAACTAGATGTGTATACAATAGTCCTGTAAATTCAAAATATTTTTTCCACTGTTCATCTACAGTATTTCAATTTCAAAATTTTCAGTTATGTAAGGGAAGTAACTTTGCAATTTTTTTACAAAAATAATAAGATTTTTTTAATTATATCTTAATTTAGTATCTTTATATAAAATTTTACTGTTACAAACATTTAAGAACTTTGTTGCTGTACTCATAGCTGACTTTATTTTTAGCTGCAATTCTTTTATATAAAGGACTTCCAGAATTTTAAGTTTTTGCTTATAATTTGATGAAGTACTAATGTATTTTTGACTAATATCTGTCTAAACTGTGATTATGGACATGAGTGTTCCTTTAAATGTTCTGAAATTGAACTATGCTCATTCAAGTGAAACATAAGCCATCTCGTCAACATCGTCATTGTAAAACCAGCATATGTATTAACATTTTTATCAGAGATGTAATCTCCCAAAGGACATTTAAAGTGATATACAATGTTGGTCTTTTGTCAGATGCTAGTTGAAGAAAAGAATTGTTTTGGATGACTAGATTGGTTGTATTAAATTTAATAAAGTATATAATTCATTTTATTTTTTTGCTTGTATCAGTGTAGGATATATTAATGTTTGAGTCTTTTTAGAATTTTTTCCTCTTGCTTATAGTTAGAATACATTTGATTATGTTATAGTAATTTGATGTTTAGAATTATTTGATGATGTATTGTGTTCACTTTTATTTAGGTTTATATTCCGAATAGCTCGACTAATTTGTTCAACGATATAATTAGGAAAGTCATTATTAATGGGAGTTTGTTTAATATTTTTTAATTCAGTATAGAAAAATCTTCCTTGTTGAAGAGTTTGCTTTTGCATGTTTTATCAAGTTCAGTATAATAGCTATTTTGTAACAGGACATTCACTTTTATAGTTGAGAGTACATGTTGTCTTTTTATATGGGACGGTAGTAAATCTATTATTATTAGTGTTTATCAATACATCAAGAAATGGTATTCTATTGTCATTGTTAAGTTCATATGTGAACTTAAGTACAGTTTTTTTTTTTTTTTTGTAGTTTATGTATTTAGTCTATGTTGTTGACTGAAATGTGAATGTCCTCTACATATCTTAGGTAAATGTAGGGATTTTTGTGGTATTAAGTATGTTATTTTCTAGGTTAGTCATATAGAAGTGCTGTATCCCTTCAGGAAGTTGGCGATCATGGGTCTCCACAATTTCCTGTTCTTTGTATCTCTTAGTAAATTTTGCCTTTTTCTCATGTCTGCTAAATTCTGTTCTGCAATCCATTTATACAATCTTGTTAGGTAGTTGTTATGAACAGTTTTCTTTTGTCCCTCTTGCCGTCATTATATCCTGAGAGTATCAAATTTTCCAAGTCTTCTTTTCTCATTTGTTCTCTAGAAGATTCATAAGACTTTTGATTGACCAGATGGGTAGATGTCAGTTCCACTGAATATAATTAGCTATTACTAAAATGAACTTATGAAAACAATTTATATTTTATCATTCCACATGCATATATTGAATTTATTTCAAATTCACCATCGGTACTTCCTTATTCTATATGTACATGTTCATATATATATATATATATATATGCTCTATCTCTGATATTGAGCACTTGATCCCATAAATATAGCACACCTTAAAACTATATTTTCACACACACACACACATATATATATATATATATATATATATATATATATATATATATATATACTTAATACAAATATAAAATTTGGTACTTAGTGGATTGATGTTATATTCAGCACACTGACTCAAGAGTTTCATAGACAAACCTTTGTGTAATTGTTTGGTCCACTCGTCAGGAGGTATCAGCAATATATAGATGTATACATACCCAGCAATGATTTAAGTATGAAACAGATTGTTGCTACCAGGTGTTGAGCTGAGCATATATAAATATAAAAGTGGAATTTGCACACACTCTGTCCCTGATATTGAGCACTTTAACCCATAAATATAGCATACCTTAAAACTATATTTTTATCATATATATTTAGATATACCCGCACACATATTATACACCTTATATAAATAATATTATTATTTAATCAATTCTTTTAGTTGTAAGGACCAGATATTGTATTTGTTTTGAACTAGAGGAAAGTTTTATGACAGAAATGGAAAACTCAACTAAAATGGTTTAGGTTCTCAATTTGATGCTGTTTAAATATCAAATTGACATTAAGTAAACACTAAAAATATCTTTCTATTTTTATATAAATGTATCTATGTGTGCGTGCGTATAATGGGACATTGTTAAATTTTGTCAGATAGTTATCTGTATTCTATTAAATGAAATTTATTGAAATTGTGAAACTAAACATTTTTTTATATTCATAAGAAAGTATCACCAAGAAGGATTTTTATTATTGAAAAAAAAACTTCTTGAAAAAAATGTGGTCTGCTAAAAAAATGAATGCACTCAAAATATATAGTTTTATCTAGTTTCTTTGTTGCACTTTGCATTACTATTTTATGTTTATTGATTGATATTTATTATATACAATTTTATGTCATAGATATACATATGTGCCTTCAATATTTGTATGCTATTGAGAAAATAAAAATGAATAAAAACGCTTTTCATTTCCTTAAGACATTAAATTCTATGCAACTCTATGTGTGGAAATTGTGATTTTTTTCACCAATGCTGTTTTGTATAAAATAAAATCTCTATTTTAAGTAGAAATGTTCCATACAACAAACTTGTTACTCTCCATTCTTGACTACATAATTGTTGTCTAGCTACACAGTATGTATGTTTACTGTTCTCTAAATAATAATACAAAAATATTCCAAGCTACTTTTGACTCTATCATTTTTATAAATCTTTTATGCTAAAAGATATCAATTGACTTTTGCTTACATATCATATATGTGTGCATTACATGTATGATTCCCAGAATACAGATTTTATGACACAAACAGTTTATACTAATGTTGGGACTTTAGATTCATTTATTTTCTCAGAAGGCTTTTTCGTAAGTATCGGTTGCGTGTCTGAACCTCGTCCCAAACAAAATATACAACAAACATAAGATTTCAATGATTAAAAACGAGACATATATATATCAAACAAATAAAGCATTTTATATACAATTAAACTTTTTACAACTTGAAGTAAAATTTGGAATGATGCGTGTGTTAATTGTATTTGTTATGAAATGTTTGATGTCGCTGGTCTTATATTTGTTGTTTTAAATGAAAGTTCGTAATTATTAGATTTTAGAGTTTTTGAATAAGTTTCATAAAGTTGTTCGCCTTGGAACGTTGTTCGTGTTTATGTTCGTAGTTCGTATTTCTTATTTTTTTGTAAGGATTTGTGAATCAATGTATATAAGAAATTTAGTTCGAGTTCGAAAGTAGTTTGTAGATTGTTCCAGATGAGTCAGTGGAAAATTCAGTTAAAATAATGCGCGGCAAAATTATGTCTTTGAGTGTCGGGGTTAATTAGGCAATCGATCGGCGAAGTTCGCTAGACTGACTGATTGGGTTGTCTTCTCTCCTTTTATAACAAATTGGTCCTCGAAAGTGGCTCAGGATGTTTTAACAATTTTGTTTTGGTAGGCGATCTACCAATCGAATTGCTTGATTTGATTCCTGGTGTTTTATTGGTTGAGCGTTTTTTTTTTGCGTATTATGCTTTTTAGGGTTGGAGAAGGTTATAAAATTAGAAGAGTCCACATACCTCCCCAGATTAATGCCATGGTGAATGAGCATTAATATATAATGTAGGTTCGGTACTTAGTTGGCCAGTGGACTTTTCTTCCTGATTTTGTCCGGTAGACTGTGTGATTCGGTCGACGGTAGTTGTTTGCGTTTCTGTTTGTTCTGTTGTCGTTGGTTTTGTTATTGTTCGATCTGTGTCATCGGTTTGCAGATATGCTGGTTTGAGACGGTCTATACTGACGGTATTCTGCTTTCCGCCGATATCAATTATGAAGAATTTTGGTGTCTTAGATATTACTAAGTGTGGACCTGTATAGTTGGGTGTTAATGGTTTTTACAGTGTCGCGCCTTAAGAAAACATTATTCTGCTGAATGTAGATCTGCTGGCACGTAAAAAGGTTTTTATACGTTCTTGTAGGTGTATAGATAACGCCCATCATTTTCTTTTTAGATCCGCCACAAAGTAATTCGTTATGTAGATGTCGCCTCGTTGTAAAATATTTGTCCAGGCAGCGTTTTGCTTTACTAAAACTAACTCTGCACTGGTGCATTTTATCCAGCTTTATTGTATTTCGCAGCGCAAGCATCACAAATGGTATTATCTACCCAACGAGCACTGGTAGACGCTGTTAGTGCGTGCATTTGAGCTGTCTATGGAATCTACTTTCCGTTACTGCAACGGATGGTATGCGGTGGTAGAGATGTGTTTTATGCCTAAAATGTTGACAAATTCATTGAATAGCGTTGATTGAAATTGGGGACCTCTGTCAGTTGTTAACTGCAGGGCATCCAAATATAGAAATCCAGTTGTTGAAAATTGCGTTAGCCCCGTTTCTGCCGTTATTGATGTTAAAGGTATCGCAAAATCGCTCAATGATCGCTAGTATGTATTCGTGTCCATTAATTTTTTCATAAGTCTGTATGAATGTGCGTGAATCGCCCATCTGGTGTTGCGAAAATGATTGTGATTTGGTATGTCGGTGTATTTTCGTTGTCACTTAACGTTGGCTATTGAGACCACTGTTTCACGCCTGAAGACATACCGGCCAGACGTATCTGTCATGGTCCGCAGCGTAGCCTTTCCAGGGGTGAGCTGGCGAAAATGATCTCGGTTTTCTTCGTGACAAAGGTAGGTACGGTCGAGGATTACCTGTGGATACGCTCTGTACGAGTTCATTAGTGAAGGTAAAGGTCTCCTTTCAATTTTGAGTGAGGTATCTTTTTTTGTACGGACTGTAATTCATAAATTTAGTGATTGTGATTGCAATGCGTTGAGTGTTGTTCTTGACAATGCGTCCGCATGTGTTATGTTGTCCTTTTTATGTATCGGATATCCGTTGTGTACTGACTGATGTAATCAGGTATCGGTCTCGTGGATTTAATTTGCTCTGTAAGCAGTTTATGGTCTGTGAAGATGACAAATTTCTTCCTTCTAGAATGTGTCTAAAATGTCGTATTGCTAGATATACTGCCAATAATTCTCTTGAGAACGTAGAGTGTTTAACTTTATCGAGAAAAATGATAGGGGTTCTCTACATCGCTCAAATCTGGTGTAATACTGCTGATAATTGTGTCAGCTGATGCGCCTGTTGTGAGTGTTAGTTTAGAGTTTTCCGGATGAATTGATGTATGACAATTTTGTGCATTTTGCAGTGCGTTCTTTGCATCGTTAAAAGATTTTAACTCGTCTTTGATAGTACGATTTGCTTCTTTTTCGCTGCGACAGCATGTTTGTTAACGGCAATAGTATAGATGCACAGTTCGGTATGAATTGTCGGTAGTAGTTTATCATTCCTAAGAATCTTCGTAATTGCTTAATTGTGGAAGGTGTGGGATAATTTGTTATTGCTGTAATCTTATGATCCAAGGGCGACAATCCTTGTTGATTTATGACATGTCCAAGGAAGTTTAGCTGTGGTACCGCAAATATACATTTGTCAATGTTTAATTTTAAACCATAATGTTGTAAACGTTTTAGAACTGCATGCAAATGTTCCTTGTGTTCAACATGTGATTTACTTGCAATTAAAACATCGTCAATATACGCCAGATGTGTACGGCATACCACGTAATACCTCGTCTATTAACCTTTGGAATGTCTGCTGGCGTTTAAGAAACCAAATGGCATTCTTGTGAATTCAAATAGTCCGAATGGAGTGGTGATCGCAGTCTTTTGTATGTCGTCTTCCTCAATTGGTATCTGGTAGTAAGCCTTTTGAGGTCTAGCTTAGTGAAGACTGTAGCACCTTCTAATGACAGCGCAAAATCTTTTATGTGCGGAATAGGTATTTGTCCGGAATGGTTTGGGCATTCAGTAACCTGTAATTCCGCATGGACGCCAACTGGTTCCGCTTTTGTGACCATATGTAGAGGGCTGGCATAAGGACTTTTTGAAGGACGATAATTCCTAGCTTGAGCATGTTGTCGAACTCATCTCTTAGATCTTCAATTTGGCGGGATGAAGTCTACGTGGTTGTGAATAAACTGGGGAACCAGTTGTTTTAATGCTGTGCTTAGCATGATGTCTAACGGGTTCATTTCGTGACGACGGTGTTAACAGTGTCTGGTACTGACGTATTATTTCATCGTAGCCATTAGCTGTAGGTATAATATTCGTCAGTCCAATCGTTGAATGTTTAATAAAAAACCACAACGTTTTATATTCAATTTGTGTCGGTTAGTGTCCGGGAAGCAAGTTCTACTGACAATGCATAATGAGTTAGGAAGTCCGCTCCCAGGATTGGCATTGAAACATCAGCTATTATGAATGTCCACGTTAGATCTCGTCTTAGACCTATATCTAAAGTTAGGTCTTTTTTCACCATAGGTGGCAATAGGCGTGCCATTCGCTTGTAGTTTAAATGTTGTGTTTTTTATCAGAAGTTGTTTGCTGCACCTCTTCTGTGGTATAACACTGATTTGGGCACCGGTGTCCACCAAAAGTTTAGTCCGCTGGATTTATCATAAATATAGAAGAGACGGTTTGTTTTGAGTTGCCTGGCATCCAGCGTCTCTACTGGGTGCCAGGATATCCGTTTCCCTGTTGTTTGGCGGTTTGGTGATTTCTTATAAGCATGGTTGTCTGCACTTGTTAGCTTGGCGCCTAAAAGTTTCATGATACCAACATTTTTTCATTTTGGTATTCGTTTCGTTGTCGTTTATATCTGTGCGAGAATTTGATCTCCAGCGTTGTTTATTTTGCTTGGTATAATAACTGTCATGTCCGCTTACATGAGCATTTTGTAGTTCGCAGCTGTGTAGATATTTTTTTGCAAATCTGTTGATAACTTTTTGATTTGTTGATCTATGTCTGGCATGAGGCCATCTCGTGTGTTCGCTTGCGGATATGTGTTTAACTGGAGCTGTGTCTGTTATTTTGTCCGCTATTATTGCCAATTTTTGATGTCTATCGTCTGCTAATGCGGCTAGTATTCATACAACCTCTGGAGGTAGCTTGTCCAGCCACATTTGCTTGAAAACAGTGGTTTACATGTTATTTTCACCCAATAACTGCTGCATCCTTCGAGTAACTGTGATGGCTTGGCATCTTCGGTTGTGACATTGGACAGGAGTTTACGATTCTTTTCTCCTCCGAATAGCCTGATCTATGTAATATCGCTTTTTTTATTGTGTCGTATGGCTTTTCATTTGAACTGCAGTCAGTATATCGCCACTTCGCAGCTATTTCTGCTGGTAACTTCTCCACGACTGCGGCAAATTTCGACTGTTGAGAAGTAATTGCCTAGCTTGAAATATCGCGTCGAGCTGCAGAAACCATGTTTGTACATTTGTGTTAAATGCAGGCATCTCTAGTTTGATTGCTGTTTCTGATATAGCTGTCGGTTCTGCCATTTGTAGTTTTGAGATTCTGTATTCGTTAAATTTTGTTGGTTGTGAATTTCTTCGTGTGTATCAGAATCACCAATTTTTGTTTTTTTTTTTTTTTTTTTTTAGATGTCGGGTTTGCCTAATTTTGTGTTGCCCACGTCTGGTTCGTCTTTTTGTTTAGACGTCAAGGTTATTAGGTTTTTGGTTTGCACTCGTTTCCAATAGTTTATTTGGTGTTTCCTTTGAACATCGGAGTTATCAAATTTTGTTGTTCTGAGGTATGTCAATAAGCTCGTCACTTTGTTGTATGTTCACCACGCCGAAGATCACCATTTTTGTCGCTAGGTCGGGTTATCAATTATGTTGCGTGTTCACTCACGTGGAAGGTCACCATTTTGTTGGGACTTTAGATTCATTTATTTTCTCAGAAGGCTTTTTTCGTAAGTATCGGTTGCGTGTCTGAACCTCGTCCCAAAAACAAAATATACAACAAACATAAAATTTCAATGATTAAAAACGAGTATATATATCAAACAAATAAAGCATTTTATATACAATTAAACTTTTTACAACTTGAAGTAAAATTTGGAATGATGCGGTGTTAATTGTATTTGTTATGAAATGTTTGATGTCGCTGGTCTTATATTTGTTGTTTTCGTGTTTGTGTATGAAAGTTCAGAATTATTAGATTTTAGAGTTTTTGAATAAGTTTGCAAAGTTGTCTGCCTTGGAACGTTGTTCTGTTTATGTTCGTAGTTCGTATTTCTTATTTTTTGTAAGGATTTGTGAATCAATGTATATAAGAAATTTAGTTAGGAGTTCCGAAAGTAGTTTGTAGATTGTTCCAGATGAGTCAGTGGAAAATTCGTTAAAATAATGCGCAAAATTATGTCTTTGAGTGTCGTGGGTTAATTAGGCAATCATTTCGCTTAGACTGACTGATTGGGTTTGTCTTCTCTCCTTTTATAACAAATTGGTCCTCGAAGTGGCTCCAGGATGTTTTAAAATTCTTGTTTTGGTAGGCGATCTACCAATAATTGCTTGATTTGATTCTGGTGTTTTTTATTGGTTGAGCGTTTTTTTTGTGCGTAGGTGTCATTTTGGATTATGCTTTTTAGGGTTGGAGAAGGTTATAAAATTAGAAGAGTCCACACTAACATGCCTAGAGATTCTATCTTTTAAGCAGATAAGCAATGGTACCTTCATTATAAACTATGATAAACAGATTAGCCTGAAAGCATTTTCTAGATTCTTATGTTGCCATTGAACATAAATGTTGAAATTAGATGATGAAGAAAGCAGCAAAATTCTGAGATGGACAGACCATAAATGCAATGATTTCATTCCTGTTAAGGTTTTTCTTTTAATCCTTAATCTTTGGAATATATGCAAAAGAAAATTTTATTGTTAACAATATACTTTTTAAGTGTCTTTCTAAATAAATTTGAAATTGGTCTGATCCATTAAAATTATAAAGTTATATAAAAACATTTAATTTTTACTGTAAAATGTGTATATCATTCTTTTAACTTTTAAATATACAAGAAAAGATAATATTAATTTTTTTAATAAGTGTGGAAAATTTGTCTTAAATGATAGTCATTTTCAAAAACTCCATTTAGTAGTTTAAATTATGTGTGGTGATGAGGTCATCTGCATATGTAGTGAAGACAGAAACAGATAAAAATCTGTTCCAAGTAATTGTTAAATTATATTTGTAGCTAATGAATTCTCTGCATTTTTTTAACACCTCAGAGAAAATATTAATAATCTCAAGAGTTCTGTAGAAAGTGTAATTGCATAGTAAGGCATATAAAAAAAAAATTACTATTTTCTTTTAACTTTTGAAATGATTTTCCTGTGTTGTTCTATATAATTACTTGTAATAGATTTTACCTTTCAAGAGCTTTTATTGAACTTGGAAAAATATTTGTACCATTTATTTTGATTGTTTATTCAAAACTTTCTCGCCTTCTGATGAACATCCACATAAATTGTCCAAACAGTAATTACATTTAAAAAATACCCAATATAATAATAGATTTACTTGAGTCATTGATTGCCTATAAAGAATGTTTTATTAATTCCTGAAAGAATAACAGACTGAATATGAATGTCCAATTAATTACACATTTTTTCTTTTCTTCAAACTGTCTTGGCCATGTTGCACATTTATAGTAAATATATCATTTTCATTACCATTATATACATAGCATAAATTGGATGAGTTTTTTTTTATCAGTTTCAGTGTTATCATTTGAGATGACACCATTATAAAGTCTACAGAAGGCTCACAATATCTTATTTATGGATACTATTCACTTTTATGAAATTAGGTTTTGCCCTATTTAT